TGATCTGTCCTGTTCAAAACGCTTGCTCAAAGACGTGTCCCAAACAAACATGTAAGAATTTGAGTGCCCTATACTCAGATATCACAGACTAATTGTCGGATACCACTCCGCCAGCAATTGGAGTTCTCTAGGATTGCCTCTTTTTCATTTTTATTAGGTCTATCGGGAATTCCATCGTGAAATATTCCTTTGCGGGATCTCACGATGTCTGCGTTGAGACGCTACCTGTTGGATAGTTAGTTGATTCGGATCCCGCGGACGATATCGTACTGCTGTTTGACGGTCGAGAGGTGGCATATCCAACCCTGACTATACTCTGCAGTGGTCCCACCATTTGGTATGAGCTTCGAACCTTCAAAGTGCGAAGTGTTGTTGCACTACCGCTAGCCACGTGATCTCCTTTTGACTCCTAACGATTAGGAACCAGAAGTAGTTGGCCAATTAATCCATCTATCCGCGTAGGGGTGGGCGTCCTCGCGGTATACTCAGCCCGCGCGCGACTGGTGGTGGTCGCGCGGCAGTGAAGCGCCGTTACGGCGTATAAGCTGACACATTTCATTTTCTTTTTTTTTCAATTAATCCATCTTGGTGACCGTATTAGCCTTGGTAGGCGCGTGACTGCTGCACATGGCTCACTTGTTGCGAGAGCTAGAACTGCCTTCTTGGCCCTACAGCACCTGTGGCATCCGCAGGGGATTCCCTCTGTCTGGAAAGCTGTTGCAAGGCCACAGTAATGGCCATCCTACTCTGTGGGGCTGAGGCCTGGCCTCCTCGACCTGAGGATCTGAGTCACCTCCTAGCCTTTGCTCATCATTGTCTGTGGGCCTGATATCGGCTGCTATCTGCGAGTCCGCAACGATGATGTGCGTAAACTCGTGGTATGTGGGGATGATGGTGCTAGTCCCTTAGTGCAACGTATAACGCTAAGTTGCGTTGGATTGGCATGTGCAAGGCATGCACCGTAGCCGCTTACCAAGGTATACCCTTTTTGCCGGATACAAAGTGGCGCAAAGCTGGAGTTTTGCATAAGTTGACTTATCAGCGGGAAATGTAAGCATTGACACGCACTGCCAAATTAGGTGCTGTTGGTCCGTCTCGCCATCTAATCTAGAGTTCTGGCCGCCAAGTCCGTGCTTGGCTCGAGAGTTTACAATACATTGCTCACAGCCAGTGGCGCGTTCGCCATCCTCTCCTAGTCTGGCTGAAGGCTTACTATGTACCGGCTGCGGTTATTTGTTTCAATAGCTGATTATAACGCGGCGCATTGAAAACTGGAAGGAAACTGTCTCGCGCATGGCGCCTTCACACGACGACCAGCTGCTTGTGCCCTGTGTAGTTGTACTAGGTTTGTGCCCCTTGGTCGCGTTAGCCGAGCCGAAAGTTGCACGTGACGCTGAAACGGGGTACCTACTCAACGCATACATTGGCTAACGCACTATGTCCTCGAAACCAAATATACAATGCGCACTCGGCCGAGAGCCTAGACGTACTACGAAATGCAAAGCCGAACAACTATACCATTTCCGAGTCATGTTAAGCCATGGCGGAATCAATTTAAGCCGTAAAGATTTCAAATTGAGCCGTTACCATTCTCTAGTTAATCTATTCCACACGTTGGCCGACATGTGGAACGGATTAACTTGAAAATGTTAACGGGTCAATGGTATAGACTGACGTACGATCACATGATCACGCAAGTCCCTGCTGGCCGCACGAGAGAGGAGACTAAAGGCAGGGTAGACCTTTGAGTGCTCTTTTACAACTCACAAAAGCGGATCACAGTTAGCACAGCAGTTCATTTTGTGGGTGAAATGGATCACCACGTCGGGCGGGTGGTTTACGAAAAAACATTGTTCACTTTAGCGCAGTTGCTCTCTGGCAGATTTTCTAGATCCTGCTGCGTTGTGAGTAGGAATTAACCTCCGCATGTCACAGTTCACCTATTGGAGTTTGTTGCGTATTTTTGCGGAATTACTTGACTTACCTGCAAAGGTAGTTGATATGGTGTTGGCACCATGGACTTGAATTTTCGCTTAGGCTGTTTAGCTTTTACACTGGGTCTCCCTTCCCCATGTGGCTATTTGTGCAGCGTCGATGCAACCTTTCAAACTACTGATATACAGTTGTTGTTGTTGTTGTTGAAGACGAACAACCCTGACTTCCACCATAACACATTCTTCGCGGTTTTTTTCAGCTATCGTTTGGCCTTCTTTGATTGATCTTACTGTGATGACACGTTCTCGCTGACACTGCTTGCGCAATGCGCTTACTGCCAAGCACATTTCTTTGAGCTTAGCTTTTGGCTGCTTAATGTCTCAAACTAGTAGAAATCTCGAATGTAATTGCTCATTGATAAGTCCAGTGGTACTGTGACTTCCGACATGTCTGTCGGTTACCTAAAAATGTCGTAAGCTACTTCATGCCCGACTTATGATAATTAGGAGCGCAACATCTGATGCTAGTTGAATTATGCAAGACCGTCGTCTCAGTTTTACGTTTTAATCTTGGTATCAGTAACTGACACTACTTAATTCAATCGAGACTGTTTTCTGTCTACCGGCCTCTGGACGCCTGGTAACAAACAGGATCGCACACACGGTCCTGGGTGAATGGAAGAGGCTACACTGCTGCCTTGCATTCAGTCGCACTGTATGGCTGCGAAAGCTAACCCCTCAAATCGGTAGACGTAAAAAGCCTGAACAGGATTCTACGAAGTCAGGTATTGTAAGATGGTACCATTTAGTGTTATCTGATCACTTGAGAACTAACAACATGTATAGGTCATGTGTGAAAAGAAAACGCTCGTTTTGAACTGGGTCAGAAAAGAAAGTACCCCGATGCAAATTAACAGATGGCTGAGCCGTGGCGAAGGTCTCGAATCCTGGGGAATCTTCAGGACTACTGTCAGTTGTTTTTATGCAGAGATTAGGACTGCGCCGATTAGATGTTACGGTCTTGGTAAACTCAGCACCCTGGGATTTCGTCTCAGTAGACAACCGCAAACGTCGAGTCAGGGTCAACTTGATGACTTGTACCGATTGTGTCTTGCGATGGATGGATGACGCCGGCACTTTGTTTGCTGCTCCTTGCCCGGTTGGTTGTCACGCCGTCATTTTAACAATTCGCTTCAAAATGTGCTCCCCAATCCGCTTACTCCTACAACCATCTGTTCTGCAAATGTAACTGCTCTCGCAGCTATGGACGAAATGTTGAATGCAATGTCATATGGCGAAGACCGGTTGAGTAGGTATGAAAACTCCAACTGCTGCACCTCGGTCCAATACAAACGTTACCTCATCAAGACGCTGTTTACTCGAGTCCGTAGATTATGCAGTGCCGACTTTGTGGAATCGGAGTTGTCGTTCATCAGACAGAAACTACGGGCCAATGGATATCCTGGATTTTTCGTTAGATTCCACAGTCACCAAGAGTACTTACTGTGCCCAATGCCTGTCTACCTACAGTTACCCTTCAAGAGTAATGTAACGGCGCAACTTGAACGACTAGTGAACACAGCTATTCGCCGCACATCCAACGCTGCCAAACTCTGTTCTCTTTGGACAACCAGCAAACTGCCAACTCCTCCAGTCAATGACGCTCAACCGGCCTCCACCATAAGACATTGCATTCAACACCGTACGTAGCTGCGGAAGCAGTTACATTGGCAGAACAGATCGTTTTCTCACTAAGCGGATTGGAAAGCACATCCTGAAGCGAATTGCTAACATGACGGCGCAACAATCAACCGGGCAAGAAGCAGCACAAAAACAACTGACGGCAGCCCTGAAGATTCCCTGGGATTCAAGACCTTGCCACGACTCAGCCATCTGTTAATTTGGATCGGTGTACATTCTTTTCTGACCCAGTTCAAAACGAGCGTTTTCTTCTCTCACGTGACCCATATATGTTGTTAGCTCGCAAGTGATCGGATAACACTAGATGGTACCATCTTGCAGTACTTACCTTCTTATTGTTTCGTTCCGACTGATGCAGGGAACTCAGTGTTTTAAGACGTAAGGAGGTTAACCGTGTTCGATTACCGATCTGTTTGTAGTTTAGGCCATATATGCTTGGAACACGGCGTAAGCAATGGACATGTTCGATGTCTATAGCGCAGGAAGAGGAAGTGAGTCGCTCAAGGCGGTAATTTCACGCACCAGGCTCCCATGTCTGAGTCCTGTGTTATGCATGTCAGCACACCTTCTCGCTTGACTCCATCTTGGTAGAAGGCGAAAATGGAGATAAATTAATGATTTAGTCAATAAGGATGAAGGCCATCACCCAAAACGGCGTCTAGACTCTTGGTATGGGGTCCCAAAGGCAATGAACATGTATGGTTGGTACGCTAGTTGACATGACGTTCTTATTGTTTGTTCCATCTCCCTTCTGCTTAGCCTCTTTCAACCGCAGTCTCATTCTAGATGCGTGATAAAAACAAACCACCGATTTATTTTTGTTCTTTTGTTTTTTCTTCTGTTATCAGGTTGTACTGTGGCACAATACCAGTGGTAATTATCACCTATAGTTAACATGTAGAACGACGATGATTACTTGACAGTCGTCGTCCATTCACTCAAACCACTTCTTTTCCTCGGAGATGCCATCTCTTTTGCTTCGAGTGCACGTTTGTTGGTATTCCCATTTCGATATACTTCTAGGTTTCTCCAACTACAAGTAGAATGTAATCACAATGTATTTTATTTGAATGCAACAATCGACAGCAGGCACCTACACCCCACATTTTCAATTCTGTGCCATTCGATATGTTTTGTTTCAATGCATTGTCTAAAACTGGTTGTCAGCGCAATTTTTCGGATCCCTTTTTTCCATAATACTTGAACTATGTTCCTTTCTAGATTCAAAATACTAATCCAGATTGCAATTTAGACTACGACCCCCTACCAGAGCCAGTCAACCAGCTTAGTCTGAAAGCACAGAATCGATGTTTAAGGGCGAAGGTGCGTGTTTTGCACGAAGAGACACAAAAATTGAATCAAGAAATGAATAATTATGTAAGTAATTTGTCCTACTTGTGTTTCCATACCCCTTGCTTCTCCCTTTTATTTTCGATCTTCTTCATTTAATAAGATGAATCAGTGTTGAGTTAAGAATTCTTTTTGGTTAATCTCATCAGACTCAAACATTTTCTAGTGCGGGTTACATAGCAAACGTGCCGAGTTGGGGTGGATATTGATTAGGATGTTAACTTTGAATGCCGAATCTATAAATCACCATATCATTGAAAGTGGTAGATTAGGTGAAAGGGAAAGGTAATCAGGTGCATTATTTTTTATGACCAATCGAAGGTTATCAGGGTTACAAAGCAAATCATATGATCACGTACCGAGATACGTGGGCCACGGAGAAAGCATCATTATCATCATTGTTATACACGTTAACTGCAGGTGGAAAACACCCGCTATTGTGCCGCAATCAAAAAGACAAGAAAAAAAGTAACAGTAGCACGCCGGCTGAGTCCCTAGTAACGGATGGACATCGTTCCGGAGAGCTAACTGCTAGATATCATGCCGCAAAAACTCATATTATGCCTAACGGATGCGATGGTGATTGGAGGGGAGCCTACGCAGGAGGGGATGGACAAGGGAACTCACAACACACACGCCATTGGGGCCGGCTCCTAGCCATATCAGCAAGTGTGTCCAACCAAACGTGTTCATCGTCCTTAGGACCCCAGCCAGGCAGTCGGGATGCATCAACCGACGCCAACTTCGAAGTGAGGGTTTTCATTTCTCTCGAACAAGTCATCACTTGGCCTCACCTCTTCTTCTTCTTCAAACCACAGCGCCGGCGCGCAACCAACGCACGGCGCGGGAGTCGGTGTGCTGGCATGCGCAACATGTGGCCCAACCATCGGAGCCTGTTGCATGCTATAATGGTGCTGAGCGATTCACGAGCTCTTCCTGCACCCAATACGCTACGCCGAACACGCTCATTGCTCACGCGGTGTTCCCACCAGACATGAGCTAAGCTGCGAAGGCAGCGATGATCGAATTTGAGCAGTTTCTTTAAGTCTGTTGACTTGATGGGCCAAGTTTCACAACCGTATAAGAGCGTTGAACGGACAGCTGCGTTATAAACTCTTACTTTCATCGCGAGAGTGATGTCGCGTCTGCGCCACAGGTGACGGAGATTGGTAAAAGGACCTCGAGCTCTTGCCTTACGGTCCGTAATCTCACCTTCGATCCCAGGAGCGCTAATATAGCTGCCAAGGTACTTCTAGCTGATCATCACCTAGGGTCAGCTTAGGCGTTGGTCCATGCCAATCTCTCTTCAAACAAATTTCTGATGCTCTGGCCACCGCAGAGGATAATCAGCGATGTCCTATCTGCTGCATCGAGCAGGATGGATAGGGCTTTTGATGCTACTGCTCAAGCCTTCCCGTCTTCTTATTCCCCCTCTTACGCTTTTTTCCCTTATGGTCCTGTTCCAACTTTACTTTTATCCCCAAGTTTTCAATCCCCGATTCTTGGCCCTCCCCCAACATGCTTTGCTAGGCGTTTGTTTTCTAATTTCAATCCACATGTTAACGCGGACCGTCACTCCTGTCATGTTTGATTGATTCCAATCAGTAGCCGAATGTGTGCGGTCCGATTGGCTGGCTCGTTCAAAGCTTCGAAGTCGCGCGGGACTACTAAGTGTCTACTCATCATCGCTACCTACGAACCCACAAACTATAGCGATGATTCGGTAAAAAACGACTTCTACCGCCAACTGACCCAGCTCCTTCTCTACAGAAGAAGCACGGACACTCTTGTGTTGGCTAGGGATCTGAACTCACAAGTTGGAAAGTTGTCCTCTGATGAAATGCATCTGAGCGGTCAGCACGGTGTAGGCTCCCGTAATGATAACAGTGAACGGTTACTTCATTTGTGTGAACATGCTCGCTTATTTCTTGCGAGCACTAATTTCCGACACAGCACTCGCCGAAGGGTGACTTGGCGCCCACCAGCCTCGAACCAGCCTTGGACGCAAATCGATCACATTGCGATAAGTTACCGCTGGAGATGCTGCATCCAGAATTTTCGCTCGATTTGGAGCACATGTGTGGACACCGATCATGCACTTGTATGTGCTGACATGCGGATGCGTTTTGGCGGACGCCCACAACGACGCTGTGAGCGCATTGACACCAGCCGACTGATAAAGCCAGCTGTTCTGAATGCCTATCCAAGTACGCTGATATGCGAGTAAGTAAGCGCTCACTGGAGACAACTGATGGCCACTGGTCACATGTTCATCAGATCTTACTAGCAGCAGGCAAATCCTCATGTGGTAAGTCTAATAGCCAACATGGACATTGGGTCTCTTCGCGGTCTCTGGAACTAATCGATGCTCGCCGGCATATTGCGGCTGGAAGCGAACACAATGAAACTCGCAAAGAACTCCAAACAAAACCCCGTGCTTGCCTGAGGAGACCGCGAATCTTGGTGGTCTCATCGTGCTTCAGGGATGGACGTGGCCGCTGCCCTTGGCAGCCATCGTAGCTTATTCCATCTGATACGGGAAACGGGCAGCACGAGGACTGGTGTTAGTGAAACTGTTTGTGACGAGAATGGACAGCCTATCCACTATTTGTCAGAACGTTTAGAGCGTTGGGCTGAGCATTTTGAAAAGCAATTTAATCGACCGGAATTGTTCTATTCCTTGCCGGCCAGTGATCGCCCTGCTCCCTTTGCATCCGCCCTCCTGTTCAGAAGTCAAACGGGAGATCAGACTGTTGAAGTTGCACAAAACCGCGGGACAGATGATCTTCATCCAGCCCTCTTCAAATTTCGGGGCTCTGCTCTTGTTGATGATTTACACGAATTACTAGTGAAACTGTGGATACACTTGCAGACATGGCAAGGAGCCGACCTCAGTGGCGTTCCTGCTGTGAGTTTCTTTGTCCCTCCCCATCCTTTTTAGCCTCCTTCTCCAACCACGATGTCATTTTGTAGCGTAATATACTTTCATAATAATTCTTCTTTTTGCCTACTAGCCGGCTGGTAGCTAACCAGAACGATGCCCATCCGTTCCTGGTAGCTCAGCTGGCATGCAACTGTTGTATTTATTTTCTTTTTTCTTCTATGTATTGTGGCACAGTAGCTGATGTGTTTTGCACTTCTAGCTAACGTGTATAATGATGATGATGATGGATCTTGGAGAACTGCATTTCGATGGAGCAAAGCATAGTCCAAAACGACTGACAGCCAGTGCTAAATAGTCCATTGCAGCCTAACACGTTTGGACACTGTCACATATGAGGGCAGTGTCGTCAGCATACTCCAAGTCAAGAAGTCGCTCACCTGGAAGTAGATCCAAACCTTCTAGGTCGTGTCCAGCGAACGCTGTTTCCATGACTCCATCAATAGCGAAGTTAAAGAGGAAAGGTGACAGCGGGCAACCGTGCTTCACACTGCTGTGGACTATGAAGGGAGGCGAAAGTTTGTCGTAAACCCTCACTCTGCCCGAACTATGCGCGTAAAGTGCTTTGATAACATTTACATATTTATCAGGCAAACTTTTTCTAAGCAGGGCACATCGATCCACCGAATCGAATTCACCTTTAATGTCGAGAAACACGACAATGGTGGGTCGCCGATAAACCTGGCGGTGCTCCAACAACTGACCCAAAATGAAGATGTGGTCGATGCAGCCTCGATTTCGACGAAACCCGGCTTGCTCTTCGCGGATCTGGCCTTCACGAGCGCCAGTCTATCTGTGGAGAACGACAAAAGCAATTAATTTAGAGCCAGTTGAGATCAGACTGATCCGTCTATAGTTGCCGCATTCCGAACGGGAGCTATCGCGATGTGACTGGACCTTAACGTATTGCGATAGTTTGTGTGCCTAAGTGATCCATTGAGCTATGCTGGGTGGTGCTTCTTGCACTTTCAGAGCCATTCAAACCAGATTGGTCAATGGTGAGAGGCCAGACAAACGCAATCTCCTGGCCCTCCAACTTGGGGGTTGGAGTGAGAGTGGCTCCTTACTCCATAAAACTGACTGTAGTCCAGCGCCAAAACCCCGCTGCCTTGCGGTGAAGTTTTTAAACCGAAGGCTTTGCTTGAGAGCCATAATTGTTCTCCTTTCTGGGTCTGGGCAACCTGACAGTATCCTGCCTACGCAACACACTTTGACTTTTCCTTCTAACAATCACCTGATGCTCTGGCTGTCGCATAGGATAATAAACCGCGTCCTACCTGCTACATCGAGCAGGGTGGATAGGGGTTTGGATGCTACTGCTCAAGCCTTCCCGCCTTCTTATTCCCCTTCTTACGTTTTTTCATCCTTAGCGTCCCATTCCAAATTTAATCTTATCCCCCCCATTTTCAATCCCCCAATTTTTGACCCTCCGCCACCTCGATTCAGTAGTCGCTTGTCTGCTACTTTCAACTCACACACAATCGCAGGGCATCGCTCTAATCCAGTCGACAAGTCCATATTCAATCAAGCAGACAATGTCATTTCATCCGTTTCCCTTTGGAGTCCTCGAGTCTCGCTAAGACTGGCATGCCTCAACGTGCACACTTTGCTACGGATCGGCCAAAAGGCAGCACTTGCCCGCACACTAGAGACCCTACCGATCTATATTGACTGTTGACCGGAAACCCGCTTGCAAGGTTCGAGCTCCGTGCTTACTCTGCGATCCCCCACATGCGACACTGGCGGCACATTCTCATTGCGCCTGTCTGGCGATGACAGAGCTTCAAATTCAGATCAAGCTAGCGTCGACATTGATCGAGCTGAAGCTGCCTTGCTCGACTGAATCCCAATCAGCAGCCGGATGTGCGCCTGGATCGTTCAAGGCTTCGAAGTCGCGCGGGGACAAACGGTGCCTGTTTGTCACTACGGCTTACCCCCTCACAAACTGCAGTCCTGTTTCGGTGAAAGATGATTTCCATCACCAACTTAACCATCTTCTTCGTTAAAGATGAAACACGGATACTGGTGTTGGCTGGTTATCTAGACGCCCAACTCAGATAATTGTCCTCTGATGTGCTTCATCTGTGCGGCCAACATGGTGTAGGCTCCTGTAATGATAACGCTTAGCGGTTGCTACACCTGTGTGAAGATGCTCGTCTCTCTCCCGAGCACTAACTTTCAACATTGCACCCGCAGAAGGGTGACTTGGCGCCCACCAGCCACGGACGCAAACCGATCACCTCTCGATTAGTTATCGCTGGTGAGGCTGTGCCCAAAACTGTCGCTCGATTTGGAGCGCCAGCGTGGACTCCGATTACGCTGTGTGTGTTGATCTGCGGGTGCATTTCGGCGGACGTCCGCAACGTCGCTCTGAGCGCATTGACACCAGCCAGCTGGAGAAACCGTGTGTTCCGAATGCGTATCAAACTACGCTGGCATCCGAGCTACGTAAGCGCCCACTGAACACCGTCTATGATCACTGGTCGCATATTCGTCAAACGTTACTATCCTCATACATGTCTTCATGTGGCATATCAAGTTGCCAACGTAGACATCGGGTCTCTACAGTCTCTGGAACTTCTAGATGCTCGCCGACTTATTCCGGCTGGAAGCGAATACAGTGAGAGTTGCAAAAATCTCAAGGTAAAACTGCGTGCTAGCCTGAAATGAGACCGCGAAGCCTGGTGATCTCATCGTGCATCGGAAATGGAAACAGCCGCTGCCGTTGATAATCATCGTAAATTATTCCGTCTGATACGGGAAATAGGTAGCAGGAGACCTGGTGTTAGCGAGACAATACGCGACGAGAGTGGACAGCCGATCTACAGCTTATCAAAAAGTTTGCAGCGTTGGGCCGAACACTTCGCAAGGCAGTTTAACCACTCTGAGTTATCGCTTTCTCCTTCGGACATTCAGTGCCCTTCTCCATGGGCCGTCTCCTTAGATCCGCCCTTTCGCGCAGAAGTCGAACGCGAGATCAGATTGTTGAAATTGTAGAAGGCCGCTTTTGCAGATAAAATTCCCCCAGCTCTCTACAAATTCGGGAGACCTGCTCTTGTAGATCATTTACACGAGTTGCTAATGGAACTTTGGGAGCAGGAAACTGTTCCGACAGACTGGAGCCACTCCGTCACGGAGAAAGTAACTGGCGTACGAATTGCTTCTGTAATCACAGCTCTGGCTTGAGGTGGGGGATGTAGATTGCTCCCACAATGGGCAGGAAATGTTTATGGAATCCACGTGAGAATCTCTCACGAATAGAATAGATAACTCTGAACTCGTTTTCAGAGCCTACGTGACCTTACCCGAGGTGGTGTGATATGATAGAGCTATTAGAAGACCTCACTTCACCTCTGAAAACCGCATCAGGATGTGCTTACGAATCCTATGAGATAGACGCCTCGTAATACGACCTACTTATCATGCAACACAGGAGCACGAGTACTGCTAAACAAGCAAACAAACTTAGGCGATCTATCCTTTGAAGTTTTTGCGAGTAGATGCTTGCTGTGGTATACTATGCGTGGGGAAGCCGTGAAATGGGTCCTCTCGACAGCGTCATTCATGCGTTTGATCACATCAGCCGCAATGCCGCATTTGGATGGTAAATGCGCAAAAAGATTTTTTATTTACGGTCATCCACTGGCGTCTTCTATTGTGTTCTTTAAGATGCTCGAGAATGTTGTTATCCGGATGCGCGTTTGCTCTTAGGGTGTCACTGATCCTCCGCAGTTCCTCCCTAGCGGTGTGCAAATACTACACACCCTAAACTCGAGTGTGTGGACTACATTCGGTTTATATTGTAGGGGAACCACACTGTAATGGTTGGTGTGATGCCCTGTCCAAGTGTGTTTTCTATACACTTTTCTGCTGCACGATGCATCTGTGTTTCTGATAATATATACGTCTAGAAATGGTAGTCTGTCTCCAAACTCGTCCCCACAGATAAACTGCAGATTACAATGCGCATTGTTTAGAGCTTTTAATAGCTTCACAGCCCGTACTTTCGATTTGCAGAGTATAAAGGTGTCATCCACATAGCGTATATAAATGTCACCGTTGCTGTACGATCTTAGTACGCTATGGTCCAATTTTGCCATAAAGGCATTTGCCAACAGGAGTCCCAACGGTGACAATCTATCTCCCCATTGAAGGTAAACTGCACATTTAGGTGCACCTAAGTAACAATTCTTTCCGAAGATTTTCCGTGAGATTTGGAGACATGATGTGTTATTGTACTAGTTCACAAACGTAATCCACTGTTTCCTCTGCATTGCTTGTGTGGATTCCTTTTGGTGAACGTGCTGCTGAAAGCAGCGCGCCCCACCCCGTACATTATTGTTCCACCGGTTGAACGCTGACCACTGCATGCGTTGTGAATGCGCTCGTATACTCGACTATGCATTTCGTGCAAATCAAGCCCACCGTGCCCAATTCTGGCACTTGGCGTGTGACTGCCACTGTTTGAACTGGAATCACGATTCCCATGTGCCTGCATCCTACCTGCTTACCTTATCAGTCTTCGACTCTCGTTGCGTCCTAAAATGGAACCCTTGTTCTCTCACGAGCGGTGGTTTGATGAGTACAGCGTACGAATCGCTTCTCGATTGTCCTTTCTTGGTACTTCGTTTCGCATCTGGCTAAGTTAGCGAACTGTGAATTTAACCCATATGAGTGGGCCCCGTGGTTTGGAACGATCACTCTCACCTGTCTTTTTCCTCTCTTTTCAGCGTGAGGAAACGAATCGTTTGAAGAAAAGAGTACAGGAGTTGGAAGAGGAGCGTACTCGGCTACATCGGACTACATCCAGTCATTCAAGTCAGGTAGAAAGGGTGAAAAAGAGCTTGGAGGAGACCAAGACTCAGTATGCTGTCGTAGAATCGGAACGGAACACCCTTAAAAAGGTGGTTTTCAAACTACTGTTCGGCTTACTAGTTTGCTTTCCGTACACCAGCATGACCCTATTTATATGGTTCACCAATTTTTCTTATTCACACATGCATGCTTAGATTGTACCACCGTTATCAGCATCAGTACATTATTACCCCAACTCCTCCATCGCGATGAAACTGGACCTTACCGTGGTGCGATCGTTTGCGTGCCTCAGCGATCCATTGGGCTATGCTCCATGGTGCTTTCTGCACCTTCAGAGCCACTCATACCAGATTGGTCAATGGTTAGAGGCCAGACAAACTCAGCCTCTTGGTCCTAAAGGTTGGGGGTTGAAGCGAGGGTGGCTCCTTAGTCCTTAAAATGGACTCCTTGTAGCCCATTGCCAAACCCTCTACCTTGTGGTTAGATTTGTGAACCAAAGGCTTTGGCTGAGAACCTTAATCGCTTTTCTATCTAGGCCTGGGCAACCTGACAGTATCCTTTCAACTTCTCTCCACATGATTTCTTGGTGATGTGGCCGTCGCAACGAATAATAAACGACTCCCTATCTGTTGCATCGAGCAGAATTGATGGGGTTTTGAATACTGCTCAAGCCTTTCCGTCTTCTTAATACTTATGGTTCCGTTCCAATTTCACTTTGATCCCCCTATTTTCAACCGGCAATTCTTGGCCCCCCCATCTTGGTTCAGTAATCGTGTGTCTACTAATTTCGACTCACTCGCAATCGCAGTGCGTCCCTCCGGTCCCGTCGAAAACTTCTTTGTACAGCCAAACGGACAACGTCAGTTCATCTGCTTCTTTTTGGAGCCCTCGATCCTCCATAAGACTGGTATATCTCACCGTGCGGACTTTGTTGCAGAGTGGCCAACTGGCAGCACTTGCCCGATATTTGCTGCTACTCCGAAACTCGCCTGCAAGATTTGAGTTCTGTGATGACGCTGCGATCCCCGACTTGCGACGCTGGCAGTATTTTCTCATTGCACTTGTCCAAAGATGACGCAACTTCAAATGTGGGTCAAACCGATGTAGGCAAATTTCTTAGCCCTCGGGCTGAGGCTGCCCTGATCGATTGGATCTCAATGAACAGCCGGATGTGCACTGTCCGCTTAGCTGGCGCATTCAAAACATCGAAGTCGCCTTCGGACAAGCGGTGCTTGTTTGTCTTTGCGGCCTACGCGCCAACAACTCGTATCGCTGACTCGATGAAAGACCACTTATATTATCAATCCAACGCGCACCTTTGTTACCGAAAAAGTGCGGTTATTGTGGTGCTTGCTAGTTATCTTAACGTCCAAGTTGGAAAACTGTCCACTGGGTGACCGACACGGTGTAATCTCTCGTAATGATAACGGTGAGTGATTGCTGCCTCTGTCTATTTCTTGCGAGCACTAACTTCCGACATGGCACCCGCAGAAACGTGACATGCACCCACCAGCTATGGACGCAAATCGATCACATCGCGATCAGTTACCGATGGATAGGATGCGTTCAAAATTGTCGCTCGATTTGGAGCACAAGCGTAGACTCCGACCACGCACTTCTTTGCGCCGACCTCTGGGTGCTTTTCTGTGGACGTCCGCAACGGCGCTGTGAGCGCAAAGATGCTTGCCAGTTGGGGAAGCCAGATGTTCTGAATGCGGATCAAAGGACGCTGGCAGCTGACTGGAGTAAACGCTCAGTGGATACCGCCGAAGATCACTGGCCGCGCATCGGCCAGACGATATTAGCAGCAGGCATGTCTTCTTGTGGCAAACCAAATTACGAGCCTAAACATTGGGTCTCCTCGCGGCCTCTAGAACTTCTGGATGCTCGCCGACGTGTTCCGTCTGCAAGCGCATACAATGAGACTCGCATAGTCTTTAGGGCGAAACTGCACGCTAACCTGAAGAGAGATCGCAAAGCCTGGTGGTCTCATCGTGTCTCGGAGATGGAGACAGTCGCGGCCCTTTGTACTCATCAGAAGTTATTCTGTTTGCTTTCCTTGTCCATCCTTCTCCTGCTTAGCCTCCCCCTCCAAACACGATCTCATTCGTTAGGCATAATGTAACTTATTGCGGCACGATAGACGGTAGTTAGCTCTCCGGAACGATGTCCATCCGTTACTGGGGACTCAGCCGGTGTGCCTCTGTTGTATTATTTCATCTTTTCTTTTGTATTGCGGCACAGTAGTTGAGGTGTTTTCCACCTGCAGCTAACGTGTATGCTGTTGCTGCTGCTGATGGTGATATCCTGTCTGCTACGAGAAACGAGCAGCAGTAAACCTGGTGTTAGCGAGACTATACGCGACGAGAGTGGACAGATGATCCACATCTTGTCAAAGAGTTGGGCCGAGAAGCACTTAAACAACTCCGAGTTGTCAGCTTTTCCATCAGCCAGTGAGCGCTCTACTCCCTGGGCCGTCCCCTTGGATCCGCGCTCACACTCAGACATCGAACGTGAGATCAGACGGTTGAAATTAAACAAAGCCGCTGGAGCAGATGACTTCATCCAGTCCACCTAGTCTTTTGGACAATTTACATAAGTTATTAGTGAATCTACGTATGGGAGCAGAAGATGGGCCCAACAAATTTGAACCGCTCCGTTATATTCCCAATTTTCAAGGGAGACTCCGGTCCAGATTGCGTCTGTCATAGAGGAATCAGTCCGATTTCAGTTGCCTCTAACTTACTTGCCTCTGTCGTCTTTCATAGACTGACTAGCATCCGTGAAAGCTATATACGCCAGGAGCAGGCCGGGTTTCGTCGAACTAGGAGCTGGATTGACCACATCTTCACATTAAATTAATTATTAGAGCACCGCCATATTTATTGGCGACCCACCGTAGTTATGTTCCTAGACATCAAACAGGCCTTTGATTCTGTTGGTCGTTGTGTCCTTTGGGACTGTCTACTGAGGAAAGGGGGCCCGTACATATGTGGACATTATCAGCTCGCTGTACACGCATAGTTCGGGCAGAGTGAGGGTTTACGACAAACTTTCGCCTCCCTTCATAGTCCACAGCAGTGTGAAGCACGGTTGCCCGCTGTCACCTTTCCTCTTTAACTTCGCTATTGATGGAGTCATGGAAACAGCGTTCGCTGGACACGACCTAGAAGGTTTGGATCTACTTCCAGGTGAGCGACTTCTTGACTTGGAGTATGCTGACGACATTGCCCTTATCTGTGACATTTTTCAAACGTGCAACCAGCACTGGACCAATTAGCATTGGCTGTCAATCGTTTTGGGCAATGCTTTGCACCGTCGAAATGCAAATTCCTTCTCCAGAATTTGCACGGACCCACTCCTGCGCTGACTCTTAGTAGTGATCAGCTGGAAGTCGTCGAACAATTTAATTCTCTAGGCAACTATATCAGCGCCAGTTGAACGGAAGTGGAGATTACGCACCATATAGCAAAAGCTCGAGGTGCTTTTGCCCATCCGCCATCTGTGGCACCGGCGTGACATCACTCTAGCCGTGAAGGGCAAAGTTTACAATGCAGCCATTCGTTCAACCCTCCTGCACAGTTGCGAAACCTGACCCATCATCAAAATCAATGCACGTTAGCCGCTGACGAGAAACACACCTCAGCTAATGTGCCGCCATACGAAAAAGTAAGACATTAACCAATGTAGACTTAGAAGCTATAAAAAGCAACCTAATGCTAATATCACATTTCTGATCGTTGTTGAGGGGAAGGAGAGGGGCAGAGACTCACAATATAAACGCCGTTGAAGTCGACTCTTCACCATGTCGGCTAGTATATCCAACCAGAAGTGTTTATCATCATTCGATCCCCAGCTAGGCAGTCGATAAACACTAACCGATACTAAGTTAGAAGTGAGGCACTTCATTGCTCTTAAACAAGTCATCGATAAGCTTCCCATCCTCTTCTTTTATCCAGACACCGGGCGCACAAACAGCGCATGATGCGGAAGTCGGTGTGCTGACTTGCGCAACACGTGACCTAACCATCGAGCCCGGTGCGTGATATAATGGTGATGAGCGGTTCACTCTCTCTTCCTGCAACAAATACATGACGCCGAACACATTCATTACTCACGCGGTGCTTCCACCAGATGTGAGCTAACCTGCGAAGGCAGCGATAATCGAACGTTACTAGTCTCGCTAATGTACTATGCTCGCCAGTCATAATTGTGGCACTATTAGTAATAACTCCGGGGAATTTTTTCTATATTTTAATGTCATTGATTACAGAAGAAATAGAAGCAAATAAATATATTCCTCTTGTTTGGTCCTTATGACCCTTCAGGTCAAGTAATTCCTCACCACCCACATGTCGTTAACACCTTTGAAAACAAAAATGAGAAGTTGGGCATTGTCAGATGCATCAGTGCATTCATCACAGGCTAACGAAAAAAAAGTCAAATTTTGCTCCTTTTGCCTCTAATTATCTTTTATGTCAGAGGCGATGTCGTCAGTTCTGCGAACCACAGTGGTACCTGCCAGGCAAACATTGGCATACTCTTGGTTTTCTCAGGACAGATAGTTCCCATAACTCCCACATTGTAAACTGTGCCCTTCAGGGTTAGAGTGATGTCGCGCCGGTGCCACAGGTGGCGGAAATGGGCAAGAGCACCTCGAACTTTTGCTATGCGGTTCGTGATCTCATCTTCCGTTCCACTGGCGCTGATATAGCTGCCCAGGTACTTGAATTTTTCGACGATTTCTAGATGATCACCGCAAGAGTCAGTGCAGGAGTGGGTCCCAGTCAATCTTAGAGAAGCACTTTGCATTTCGATAGTGTAAAGCAAAGCCCATCAAGTCGACAGACCTAAAGAGGCTTATTACTTTCGATCATCGGTGCCTTGACAGCTTAGCTCATGTCTGGTGGGAACACCGCATGAGCAATGAGCGTGTTCGGCGTAGCGTATTGGTTGCAGTAAGAGTTCGTGAATCGCTCAGCACCATTATACCACGCACCAGGCTCCGATGGTTGGGCCACATGTTGCGCATGCCGACATACCGACTCCCGCGCCGTGCGTTGGTTGCGCGCCGGCGCTGTGGTTTGAAGAAGAAGAAGAGGTGAGGCCAAGTAATGACTTGGTCGAGAGAAATGAAAATCCTCACTTCGAAGTTGGCGTCGATTGGTGCATCCCGACTGCCTGGCTGGGGTCCTAAGGACGATGAACAAGTCTGGTTGGACACATTTGCTCATATGGCGAAGTGACATTTGTGTTGTTTCTCTGTCCCTTTCCTTCCCCCTCCAACAACAATCTCTAACGTATGCATTGTGTGCTATTTAGCGTTATGTAACTTTTTTCTAGCTTTTCTAGTCTGCATTGTTTAGTCTCTTACCTTTTTGTATCGCGAAACATTAGCTGAGATATGCCTCTCACCCTCGGCCAAAGTGTATTGATGTGGTGATTGATGAGGTCCGATGTCTGGCCACAGGCCTAAACGTGTTAACTAAACGTCCAGACTCAGAGCGTTTACACTACGATAACTGTAAGCGCACTTACAGTTGGTCTACAACATTGGTGAGGCGGCTTCCTTGTGGATCTCGCCATCCCCCTTTCTAACCAATCTTACTCGTTAAAGTAATCAGCGTCCTACACTTTGTTTTACTCAGCGTCATCTGCTGTATGTTTCAATTTTACTCGTTAGCTACTACCGCGCTATTCTATCTGTTATGATATCACACTTCGTCTGCATTTGCAATCTGCTTACGGTGTATACACCAGAATTCGCTTGCACCGTCATATTTGGTGTTCATCTAGGTAGCGAAGGGTGTTGGGTTTTGTGTGAACTCTGCAACATTTCCCAGCCTTATCCCATTTGATATTCAGTTTCCATCGGGTCTTTCACCCTCAGTGTGCTTTTTCAGTGTTGGACACAGCTATTGTCTTATCTGGATATTTGACATTTTAGCATCTTCGTGTGTCGACCATTTGTGCACGTCTTAACTAAACAAGCATCACTCCAGTTTTTTCGTGAATTTTCGAGACTACCACTACATATGAAACTTCCACCACCTCATTGTCTCACTTTGTACGTATTTCGCAACCCTATTTTCTTCCCTAACCAGGAGTGCGAATCCGCTAAGCGTGCTTTAAGCCAACAGGCGTCCGAGCTTAAATCTGCTTCTACTCGGCTTCAAAGAGCACTCGAAGAGGTAGAACGACTCAAAAACGAATTGGATGGTCTACGCTCCCGCAACCGCGATACGAATGGTGACATGAAACACACAATTGAACGACTGACTTCTGACAATCGCCGTCTGGAGCGTCAGAAGACTGAATTGATCGCGGCGTTCAAGAAGCAGTTACGGTTGATTGATGTTCTGCGTCGACAAAAGGTAGATCTTCAATTTAGATGTATAGTTCTTCGCTTAGTTCGTTTACCTGTATATGGACCTTATTTTGATCCTTGTAAAACCAACTCATCAAGTGCTCTGTTGCCTAGGTATTCAGACATAGGCTCTTCGTTTACTTTCTTCTGTTGCCAGCAAGTAACATTCCAGTTACATTGAACATCTTTGAGCCGCTTATTTTAGCTGTTCACGTCTCCACCTTGCTTACCGTGCGTATGCTATCACCAGAAAACGTGGCTCTACCAAATTTTAGATGAACCAACTCACTAGGGTGTGGCTCACGAGTCTAAATCTTATATATCTGTTTGTACGCTTAGCTCGTGTGCTAAGGTTGTGGTTGACAATATATTTTTGCAACTTGTCTTATGGCTGTTTGACTGACGCGTCATTGACGTTTGTCTGTACATGGCACACCACAAGAGGCCGCGTCCGGTGCATCATCATCATCATCATACACGTTATCTAGAGGTGGGGAACATCACAGCTACTGTGCCGCAATACACAGAAAAAAGGAGAAAAAAAGAATGTTACTGGTGTAAGCCGGCTGAGCTACCGGTAATGGATGAGCATCGTTCCGGTAGGCTACCAGCCGGCTACTGTGCATCAAAAAAATTACTATGCAAAATTATATAAGGCTAAATAATGAGATCGTGGTTGGAGGGGGAGGCTAAGAGGGATGGGGTGGGACAAAGAAACTCACAGCACGAACGCCACTGAGGTCGGCTCCTTGCCATGTCAGCAAGTGTGTCCAACCAAACGTGTTCATCGTCTTTCGGACCCCAACCAGGGAGCCGTAACGCTCCAACCGAGGCTAGCTCAAAAGTGATGACCTTCATTCCTCTGGACCAAGTCATCGCTTGGCCACCCCTCCTCTTCTTCCATCCACAACCCCGGCGCGCAAACAGCGCACGTCGCGGGAGTCGGTGGGCTGGCATGCGTAACACGTGGCCGAGCCATCGGAGCCTGGTGCGTGAAATGACGGTGCTGAGCGGTTCATTTCCTTTTCCTGTGCCGTAAACAAGGCGTCGAACACGCTCGTTACTCAAGCGGTGTTCCCACCAGATGTGAGCTAAATTACGAAGGCATCGGTGATCGAACGTAACTAGCCTCTTCAGGTCTGCTGCTTAAAGCGGCCAGGTTTTACAACCGTACAGTAGGGTCCATCGTACCGCTGCATTGTACACTCTACCCTTCAGGGCAAGAGCGATGTCGCGCCGCCGCCATAAGTGGCGAAGGTTAGCAAAAGCGCCCCGTGCTTTTGCTATACGGTTCGCGTCCGGTGCGAATGATGACGGTGGACCCAACACGGCCATATTACTATTTCGGCCCCTGGTTACAGAAGGCTGATAGTCTTTACCATGGTAGAAATGTTGAATTTATCGCGGAAGCTCTGGAATCCAAAGTAGCTCCATCGTGGAACAGAAATCGGCTCAGTCACCCTTCTCTATACGTCAAACACACATATTTTCCTTGCTTTTGCATCAGTAGCGTGCGTGTTCCATTGTGCATTCTTATGGTGCGCATATTAAGGTCCTTACCGAAGAAAAGCTGGTCCTTCAGGATTACGCGAGCATCATACTACTAGTTGACAGCCACGAGAGTGGCCCAGCTAATCCTGAAGCGGTCCCATCCTTTTAAATGCGTTTTTCGGAGTGCTCTGACATGCCTTATGTGCAATTTGGTTGCCTATTGATCCTCGATACTGAGGAACAGTATGTAGTTGATCAATTCATCTGCTTGCTTGTTGTATACTCAGGGACGCGCGGCCTAAGTTTCCTTTATTTGTTTCGAAGACAAAAGCTGTCTTCATTAGTCTGCGATAGCTTTGGCACTGGTGAGAAATTTCCCTTAACCTTAACCACCGTGCATATATCACTATGGCCTAGAGCATCCTTGTGTACATTAATGGGACATGGCCGCTTCACATTGAGGACTTTGCGATCTTTGACTATGGCTTCCTTTGGAACATTGGCCTCGTCGATTTCCACCGGTGTACTCGCATCGGTGAGGTGCGCAATCGAATTACAACTGCTGTTGCACAATTTTCATTGGGATGGGGCCCCGGAACTCATGGCTTCCCCAGACTACAATTTTACAGGAAATCCTCCCCTGAGTTCAGCACGATTTCTCCATTTTTAGCCATTCGGATCAAAGAAAAGGGCTGTTGATAGAACGAATCTTTGACCTTCTCTGGGCTGCCATTAGGAAGAACGCGGAGTGAGACATCAGAACATCTTGTCTTCGACTGTTGCTTATGTAACCCCGATGGCGCTCCGAATTTGTCTCACGCAGGCAACTATTCACTAGAATGCATTCCTAGATTCTATCCATTAATGGGCTTCAGTAAACCTGTCAGATCGTCTACGTCACGCTATTCACCTGTCTGTAAACGTCCAATTTCCGGTTTAATTGTGTGCCTGAACTGCTGCACCCCTTTGGGTGAAGTCCCAAGATTGTTAGCCGTTGGCCCGCGAAAGGGCACGGGGAAACTGATTAGAAAGCTTGCTAAGTTCGTTCCGTTCCTTCCTCCTTGTTGATA